TCGGGAGGCAGAGGCAGGCCGATCTCTGTGAGTTCGAGACCAGCCTGGTCTACAAGAGCTAGTTCCAGGACAGCCTCCAAAGCCACAGAGAAACCCTGTCTCGAAAAACCAAAAAAAAAAAAAAAAAAAAAGAATTTGTTATGATGAAGGGTGAGCTACCTGCATCTGTGGGTCAAAGTGTTTACGTACTTTGGAATTATAGTTAGGAATTATGGTGACTAACTGCAAGCAGCCTCACTGGTCTCTGGGGGTGCTATAGTAGATGAGGATGAAAGATTACAGGAACAGCTATGAGAAAGCTGTCACCTATGTTGGGGCGAGGCTTTCTGGTGATGTGGCTGCTTTGGGATGACCCATGCTCTCGTCAGTGACCTCTCACCCGTGCTCTATAAGGAAGCCTAACAAACTCACTGCTTCTGCAGCTTGGACTTTGGGCTGGAAGGGGGCTACTTCATGTGGGCATTGTTCTAACAGAACCTTAGCTGCTGAGGGGTAGCTAGCCTATAGGGAAATACTTCAACTAAACTGGAGAAGATCTAGCTCTATGCATGCGTCTCTGTGGAGATGGCTGAATAAACCCATCTTCCCCACTTCAGATGGGCTGTTAGGTAAGTTAAAATGGCTTCCAGGCTTGATTTAGGATGGCTGGGGCAGGCTGTGTAACAACTGTAACAGCACAGTTGGGAATACCCTGGTGTTTCTGTTTTTCACAGAGGTAATCTTTTTATCTTACATGCTCACTTACTGTTAAGATTTGGAGGCTAGCACCTTTCCCTGTTAATCCATTTTACTGGAGCAAGTTTCCTCCTGTAGCTCAGTGTCTCTTTTGCTTTGTTAGACCCCCTGGAAAACTCAGGTATCCGGGGTCCCAGGCCACGACCTCGGTCACCCCAATCACCAGGCGGATTCGAGAGCTTGCTGCAAACCTCATGAGGCTTTATTGTAATTTAAGGAGCTAACCCGATATTAGCTCGGGTCTTTTGTCCACCCACCATGGCAGATGGCTAGCAAAGACAGCTCCTAGGGGCTCCTGAGAGATCTCGTAAGGCAGCATAGGGGAGTGTCTAGGGGTACACACAGGCTCAGGATTGGTGTGCCTCCAGGCTTGGAGGGCTTGCCCTGCGTTGATTGGCCAACTGGTTGTTATAGCCCATAGGCCCTCCCAGGGTGGTTGCTATGCTCTGTGCGTCCTTGCTGTGTGCTTGTCTGTAAAGTACACCCAGGGTTGTAAAGTATAGCGCCACCAGCTAACTTCTGATTGGTTCCTTGTCACGAGGCAGGCATCTGACTTTCTAGTGTCTAGGACAAGATCAGACAAGCACGTGTTTGGCCGTTATGGCTGCCGAAAGGGGACCTGGTCCCTTCAGCTTCATGGAAGTCTACAAGATAACACTCGATCTCTTATAAGCCCAGAATTCTCTTTTATCACAGTGTTAGCAGCCGCTGTTTCTCTAGTCTTGTTTATTGGCCTCTAGTAAAGGACTCTGTGTTTAGTGGTTACCTTGAGATCATCTTGTTGGGGCTTTTCCAACAGCCTTGAAGATATCTCATCTGTCTGTTGAAGGCAGCACTCTTAGCAACAAAGTAAAGAAGATGGTGTAAGTGGAGCTTTCCTGTCCCAGCAGCTGTTTCCCAAATAACCACACTGAGGCATGTGTTAATTACAAATGCTGGGCCAATAGCTCAAGCTTGTTACCAACTGACTTTTAAAACTTAATCCATTTCTATTAATCTATGTGCTACCCCCAGGCTCATGACTTTCATCTCTATCCCATTTTGTGTATCCAACTCATTCTCTGTCTGGTGACTCTTCTGACTCTGTCCTTCACATCTCATCATTCTCAGTTTGGCTTTTCCGCCTTACTTTATCCTGTTCAGCTATTGGCCAGTGAGCTTGTTTATTAAACTAATCATGTGGACATATATTCACACAGTACACAGAAGGATTATTCCACAGCAAGACGGTTCATCCAGCTTCTGAGTCTAATGTTGAAATGCCCTGTAACCCTATAACGTATGACTACAGCGGGTGACTGCATCATCTCTGAACATTCCTTCATGTAATACATTGCTTTACATCCTTTGCAACTCAGGAGCTCTCTTTTCTACATCTCAATGTCAGTGAGGTGACAGTGGGTTCCAGTTAGAGTAGACACTGCCACCTCCTGGACCAAAGAGAGCATTGGCAGGGTCCACTACTTCCACACTATTGAAGGAATCCGTGCCATTTCCCACACATATTGACTCAGCTTTAAACCAGAACACCTCAACATCGTCCGGGGAAGTCCCGAGGACGATTCTGAGTAGCTGTGGGTGGGCTGTCAGAGTGAGTCAGATATGTGGCATCTCGTATGAAGGAGTGTTGTGGGTTCTGGCTATTGCCAGAGAACAGTATGTTGAGCTGCTGGGGAGAGGTTTGCAGAGCTCACCTGGTTGAAAAGTGCAGTAGAATGGAGCCCATGACTCCTTGCCAGTTGGGTAGACCATCAGAGCATCTTTTAGGCAAAAGAGGAGTCTGTGGATGACCGGACCCACTTTACCCACGGGACTCTGAAGACAGTGTGAGTCTCCATATTATTAGATTAAAATCACTAATACAGGATATGATCAATATGATGTGTAAAGCCACCTGCTACTCCTGCTACTCTGCCTCTCCCGCCACAATAAAGTGTATGCTTTCTTAAACTGTAAGCCAAAGTGACCCTTCTTCCCTTAAATTGTTTCTGATCTAGTATTGGTCACAGTGATGAGTTAATAAACTAACGGAGTAGGCCGTGGTGACTCTGGGTGTGTTGCTGTTATAAGCCCAAGGCTTTTGGAACTGATTTGTGGGGGGAATGTGGAGGAGTTTGCAGCTGTGGGTTAAAGAAATCTTAAAATGCTGTATGCAGAGTTTAATGGGCCATTCCGGGGCATTAGGAAGGCAAGAAAGCTGACAGAAATGCAAATCATGGAGGTCTCAGAATGTATACCCATTCCTCTGCTTATTGCTGTGACCAAATACTTGACGGGAAGAATTTTAAGGAGGAAGGGTTTTTGCTGGCTGACAGTTTGAGGGGTTCCATAAACACGGGGAGGCATGGTGGCAGCAGCAGGAGGGCAGTTGGTCATACTGCATCTATAGCAAAGAAGAGGGGCATGAATGTTAGTGCCCAGCAAGCTGTCTCCCTTGGATTAAGTCCTAGACTCCAGCCCATGGGATGTCACCACCCACAGTTAAGGTGAGTCTTCACACCTCAGTTGACCAGGTTCATCCTTCACAGGCATGCCCCCAGACTAATCTAATCTAGATGATCTTTCCCAGGTGTCATGGAGGCTTGCCTCCTAGGTGAGTCTAGATTCTGCCAGGGTGACATTGTTAATCACAGCAACACACCTCTTGTCAACTTGACACACCAGCATATCACTTGAAATCACAGTTTTCCTTCCTTTGTCTCCACAGGCTTATGTCCATCTCGTAATACAGAAAAAGCATTCGGCCTAACATCAAAAGTCTCTGTAGTTTTTAACAATTCCTATACTGTTTAAAAGTATAATGTCTAAATCTCATTGGAGACTCAAGGGACTCTCTTAACTGCAGTATCCCATAAAGTAAAAAAAGAAGGCATATCTTTTCAATACACAATGGCCCACAATAAACATTTCCATTTGTCTTGGTTACTTTTCCATTGCTGTGGCAAAATACCACGACCAAGGCAACTTATTAAAGAAAGCATTTAACTGGGTTTATGGTTTCAGAGGGCTAGAGTCTGTTTTGTTTTGGTTTTTTCAAGACAGGGTTGCTCTGTGTAACTCTGGCTGTCCTAGAACTCACTCTGTAGACCAGAACAACCTCAAACTCATAGAGATCCACCTGCCTCTGCTTCCCAAGTGATGGAATTACAAGAGGGTGCCCAGCCTGGTTTTGTTTTGTTTGTTTGTTTTTGTCAATTTGATACAAGTTACTGTTTTTTGGGAAAAAGAGAACATCAACTGAGAAAATTCTTCCATCAGATTGTCCTGTAGCAAGTCTGTGTGACATATTCTTGATTAATGATTGATGTAGAGGAACCCAGTTCACTGGGGGCAATGCCACCCCTAGGCACGTGGTCCTGGATGATATAAGAAAGCAGACTAAGCAAGTCATGTGTCAGGGCCCAGATATCGATTATGATATTTTGGGTGCAAACCTCAGCTTGATTCCAGGAGCTTGGGTCTACCATTGTCTTTCAGGCATCCGGCTGATTACCTCCGGATGCCTGGCCTTGGTGGGGAATGGTTCCTAGTTTGTGTAACAATAGGCCTAGGCCCTAGGTGGATGCACACCCATCATGGGGGCTGGAGGAACGTGCCTGGAAACTAGTGAGCGACTATACAGACGCCCTTGTAGAATGTCTGGGGGGTTGTGTACGTGCTTTCCAAGACTATCCCTAGGATTAAAGGAAACGGCTCCTAGTCAGCCCTTTATACATGATAATAGATGTCTTCTGCTATTACCCTCAATCTTGGAAAGCTATTTAAGAGGATGCTTGAATAAACCTTGGACTCCAGCATGGACTGAGAGCCCTCCTGAGATGACAAGATGTCTCTGTCTCATCCTTAACCCCACCGGGTATTTAGGAGTTTCCCGATCCACACCCCCCCACTCATGGGTCAGACCAGGGGCTGTTCTGCTGGTTCCCGTTGCAGCCCCTAAGACATCAGTCTGGAATAGATTGCCTCTGTAGCATGGGACTGCTCTGTGCAGCCCAGACCTGGCAAAAGGGAACAAACCAGTAAACATCACTCCTCCACGGCACTGCTTCAGTTCCTGTCTCCAGGTTTCTACCTTGAGGAGTTCTAGCCTTGGCTTCCCTTCATGACAGACTTTAAGCTGAAATAAACCCTTTACTCCTCAAGTTGCCTTTGGTTATTTGTTTATAATAGCAATATAAAGCAAATTAGGGCACAGGGTATTTTTTTGGTTTCAATTTTTAATTACTTATTTGAGAATTTCATACAATGTATTTTAGCCATCTTTATCCCTAACTCCTTTCTTTAACTCCTCCAGATCCATCCCATATCACTACCCTGCCAACTTCCTGTTCTTTTCTTAAAACAAACAAACAAAAGCATGGACTCCAATCTGTGCTTCCCATATACTTCTGAGTGCGTGGCTACCCACTGGAGTGACCTGCCAGGAAACACCCTTAAAGAAAACAGACTCTCATTCCCAGAAGCCATCAACTGTTCATAGAGCTGAGGCTAATAAACCACTCCACACTAGGATGTTGATTGGCTTGAGCTTGTACAGGGCTTGCTCAGGCAGCCACACAACTGCTTAGAGTTCATGGCTATAGTAATCTTGTCATGTCCAAAAGACACTGTTTCAGTCTGGCTCTCCCTAACCTCTGGCTCTTACACTCTTTCAGCCCCATCTTCTGCAATGGCCCCCAAGCCCTGGGGTTTGGGAGGAATAGTGTGCTATAGATGTCCTGTTTGTAGCTGAGCACTCCACAGACACTCATTCTCTGCATTTTGACCAGTTGTGAGTTTCTGCATTAACCACCATACAACGTACAAACACAATTTTCTGATGAAGTCTGAGAGCTGTACTAGTTTACAGGTAGAGAGTTACGGATTTAGATGGCAGCTTGATACTATGCCCATTTAGCAGAATAATAGTAATAGATTTACTCCTGGGGCCCGTGAACTCCCTACCATAGGTTCTTGATTGGATTTATAGTATGAGGCATGCATTTCCTAAGGCAGAACAAGCCTTAATCCATCAGAAAGCAACTGGTTATCCCCAGATCTAGGTGGTTTTGTTGTGGCCCCCTCCTGCCGGGCCACCTTCAGCCTCACTCTCACAAGTTCTCTCCTTTCAGTGAGTTTTCATTTTCACAAGTTGGAGACTTTGCTGGGAGGCTTGTCTTTGGGGTACCTGTCACTGTTGCAGTTTACAGCAGGAGCCTTCTCAGCAATAACTGAAGCCCCCTTTTCAGCATTCACCTTGTTCACAACTTAAAACTTGTTTGTGCTTTTTTTGCTGCTCTAAACTAAACACTTTTTGTGTCTTTCTTCCCAACCTTTTCGTTTTCACTTTAGACTTGGATAATTGCAGTGAGTAGTAGCCGTGCTCCAGTTGAATGCTCTCCTGCCTTGAATAGCCTGAGACAAACCCATTAGTCCATCCTTTGATCACTCAGCTTCTCTGGATGGGACAATGTGAAGTCCCATTATTTGGCAGAAAGTCACACAAATGGTGTCAAGCCTGGTTCCTGGTAGAGCACTGGTTCACAAGCCAGGCCTCTACTATCTTCATATGTCTTTACCTTCTTGCCTTCCAAGTTCTCATCAAAATGGCCCATTAAGTTTCTTATGGTATTTGAGGGTTTTATTTCCCAAAGTTCCAAATTCCTGTACATTCCTTCAGAAAAAAACAAAGGCTTATGAGCCCAGTGGTTCATCACAGCAGCAGCCCACTTACAGGTCTCAATTTTTTGTATTAGTTACTCTTCTCATTGCCTCCACCAAGGAACAATTCAAGGGACAAGGAGCTTGTTTGGCATGTGTTTTAAGGGGATAATTCTGTCATGGTGGGGAAGACACAGCAGGAGGCCCAGAAGGCTGGCTGGTCACATGGTGTGGGCAGTCAGGGAAGTGGTGACGAGCACCAGTGCCCAGCTCACTCTCTCCTTTGTTCAATCCAGGACTCCCCTCGTGGGAGGGTGCTGCCTATCACTGAAGTGAGCTTTCTCACCTCAATTAGCCCAATCCAGTGTGTCTGCAAGCTTACCTCCTCAGGAATTCTAGAGCCTGTCAAGTTGGTGTTAGACCCTCAGAAAGCTGAGGCTTCCAGAATCTTAGCCCAGGACGGCGGCCACCCCAAACACAGAATGGAGGCGAAAGCTTGATGCAAACTGCATGAGGCTTTATTGTAGTTTTACGAGCTAACTCCATGTTAGCTCGGGTCTTTCACCCACCCGCCATGGCAGACGGCTAGAAAAAGACGGCTCCTAGGGTCTCCCAAAAGATCTTATAGGGCAGCGTAAGGGGAGTGTCTAGGGGTACGCACAGGCTTACGATTGGTGTGCCTCCAGGCTTGCCCTGTGTTGATTGGTCAACTGGTTGTTATGGCTCATAGGCCCTCCCAGGGTGGTTGCTATGCTCTCTACGTCATTGCTGTGCGCTTGTCCGTAAAGCACACCCAGGGTCGTAAAGCATAGCGCCACCAGCTAACTTCCGATTGGCTCCTTGTCATGAGACAGGCATCTGACTTTCTAGTGACTAACTTCTGATGGGTTCCTTGTCACGAGACAGGCATCTGACCTCTACGTGACCAAGGCAGGTTTATGG